AATTCACCGGATTACCTGAATCCCTTCCCCCTCCCCAAAAGCCTAAAGTAGACCCTTTTCTTGTACCCTCCTCGTCTCTCTCCTGCATCGTGGTCGCCACGTTTTTTCTTTTGCACGTCCCACCCCGTCCCCGGGAATGGGTGTCATCTCCCGCGTCATGTACAAGTACAGTACATGTCCGTATCCTCAACCGCACCCTAAACTCCCTTCGATCATCACATATTGCTTCAGAAGCAGTGAGCTTCCTCCCCCCCCCGAGAGCATGCGTAACGGTTTAACGGCTCCCGTATCGAGAATGTTCGCCCCCTCCCCCTTACCACCAAGAGCGAGGACCCCCATGGAAGAGAGGAAGGGGTGCCAGAAAGAATTTCCTCCTGCGGGCCGCAAATTTTCCGTGCCAGCCCCTGTCCCCGCTTCTGTCATTGGGCATTGGGGTTGGTTGGGGGCGTAAGTATCACACTGAAGGTACGTAAGTATGATAAGTAAATAAGTACGGAAGTGTTTCCATTGAGAGTTTTTACTGCAGCCTTTACGAGTACTTTGCCCACCCAAGTCAATAGCTCATCTGCTCGAGTACCCATCGCATCTCATCCTGCCGTAGCGTATCCACTTAGCCAGCTGCGGTAAAGTGGGTGCCCGAGTACCTGAAATTAGGTGCGGTATGACAGTTGGGAAAGCCCCTTGTTCCTGGAATCCGCTGAGAGGCGTACGACTATTATAAATTTCCTCAAGATTGGGAACGGGAGTCCAAAGCTCCCTGGGTTCTCTTTTTTTTTCAGGGCTTGATTGCGCAATAGCGGTCACCTGTGGCAGTACAAGTACTGTACTGAAATGCTCACCCGGGAGAACCAGATGTTACCCAAGCATCGTGAATTCTCAAGTTCAGTGGCTTGCCAAGTGCTAATTAAACAGAGAAGCTCTGAAGAAGAGAAAAAGAAAAAGGGTTCGCAACCTCCAGGAAAACCCACGATAACCCACTGGACAAAACTACCGTGGAGATAGTTTGGTTAGACTAGCATCGCGGGCTGCTCTGTTTAGCTGTTTTTCCCCACCACCCAACGCACCCTGGACTGCTCCGCCCACCCACCACCACGACGACCGCTCCATGCACTCAAACCCGGAAATAAATTCCACGAGAGAAACATTCACACATGTAAAGGTTTGGGACGCTTGAGAGCTTAGCCCAAGCTAGCTAGCTAGATGCTCGCAGTTTTGACTCTCCCGCCTCTTTCCAAGCCTCCTTCCAAGTTTTCGGTTTTATTATCGTCAACTGGAGAGAGTGCACCCCCTTACCTATCTATGGCTTGAGATTTCCCAACTATCCAGCCAGCCAGCTAGCTAGCTACTAAGTACTAGCTAGGGTAAAGTACCACGCTGACACTAGCCAACAAACTAGCTATTGTAGCTTGCTAGCTTCATGGGAGAAGGATCACGGGGAGGTCCAAAAGGTGTTTTCCGTCCCAAAGAGCATGATAAAACCACACATGAGATATTCCCCTATCGAATCGCAGCCAAGCACGAGAGAGAAAGGGGGGGAGGGAAAGAAATTGCGATAACTCCGGAAAACCATCGCAGGATTCTTCACCCAACCCAACCCGCCGGATGCTGACGGTAAATTCCCCTTATCCCACCGAGGCTCAAAGATGAGGCCTTTGGCACCCAGCGGGCGAGCGAGATCTTGTGCTAGATCCCAATACTCCACATTCTTGGCGAGGAAAAATCAAAAAATGTCTTGAACCCTTTTCTTTTGTGGGTGGATGGGTGGGTGGGGGTGCGCGGTGGTTGTTTCTTTTGGGGGGGAGGACACTTTCCTTTCTTTTTTTATTTTCCCTTCTGCTCTACTCTACTCTACGAGTTAGCAGTTCTTCAGCGGATGTGGGGACAAAAATTGCTCGTGGGCCCGCAAGAGAATTGAGTCACTTGTAGTACAGTACGAGTACTACCTGTATATGATTGGAGGTTAACTCGAAGCAATTGGATGTATGTATCAACAGATAGTTTAGCTTCCACAGAACCAGAACTTCAGAAACTGGCTGATTGACTTCACCGTCCCACGGTAGAAGTGGAGGCAGGGGTATCGTACCGCACCCACGGCAGGGGTTGTGGAGGAGGTTCGGTGTTCACACTTTTTGTTCGTTCCCCTCGTTCGGGGTCGGGGGGGGTCGGTGGATCCGTCCCCCTCTCCCTTCCCCCCCCACCAACTCACTCCCTCCTCCCTCAACTCACTCACTTCACTCACTCATCCCAGCCCCCTACCCCCCCTTGTCTCCCACTTCTCTCCCCCCTTGTCCCCTACCCTGCCCTGCCCTGCCCTAGAAGAAAACTAGCTCCGGCTTAGCACCGTAACCACAAGTGCTAACGAGTGCTAACGAGTCCCACCACTACCACCAACCACCACCACCGGTCTTGGGTTGTAATCGCCAATGGCCAATTCCTTGGGAGGGAAGGGGAAGGCAAGTTGCGGAATGCCATTCTAAGGGGGGGCGTACTCTCTAATCCCGAAAAGGAATAAAAAAAATAAGAAAATAACCTGACGGTGCTACCCCATGATGCCGATACGATTGATGGGTACCGTATGATACAAGTACGAGTAACTAGGTTACCCGAAGCAGGATGATGGAAAAGCTACAAAGTGCAAGAAACCTGGAGGAGGGAGAAGGAGGAAGGAAAGGCGGAGGAGATAGGCTAGGCTAGGGTAAGCTAGGTTGGGTTGGGTTTGGAGGGTTACAGTTATGCACCGAACTTGGGAAATTCCACGGATTCGTTCTATCATACAAATTCCTGAAGATCTTATTTATTTCTCCCGTTCTATTGCTTTTTTTTTTTTTTTTACCCTCCACCCCCTTCCCCCCCCCCCTTCTAACTTCTTCTTTTTTTGTTTCCTTTTTTACCTTGTACGAGTTGTGTACGAGTACTCGTACAAGTACAGAAGTCAGTCGTACTTAGCGAGCGAGCGAGCGAGCAAGCGAAGGTTATGTATCATAGGTAGGCAACTTTGGTACGCGTTGGCAACCTGGCTCACTCACCCACGAGAGAGGGAAACCGGGTTTTATTAAATGTTTCGAACGTTTCGTAAAATCGGTGTTGGGGGGAGGGGAGAGAAAAAAAAAATGAAAAATGAAAAATGAAAATAAAGCAAAAGCAAAATGGGGAAAGCGAGTGGAAGTGGGCTTGTTTATGGAAGTTGGAAACAATAATTTGACTAAAAGTAGAAGAAACACCGAGGATTGTGCCGTACAAGTACAATTTTTTTTTGTCGTAAAAAAAGCTCTATATTTTTTTATTTTTTATTTTATTTTTTTATTTAGAAGGGACGGCGGATTATGATAAACTGGGATACCATAAATCGATACAATTCGGTTCGTAAGATATCTCATACTCGGGTAGACCCAGTTTGTACCAATTGAGCCTTCTTTCATCCCCCACACCTTCCTCCTTCCCATAGGGTCTACTCGTACCATTCCTCTTGACCGATCCTGCAACACTGCTAGTTAACATACTCACTCACTTGGAGCCAATTTCAATGTCGTGATAAAACTTGCAAGTAAATAACCGCCATGAATGAGGGTTTAAAAAATGGAGAACGGAAACAACTCAAATACCTACAAAATAAGTAAATAAATAAAACCACCGTTTACAATTTCGGATTGCTCCCTCTCCCTATAAAGATTTTGCGCTAGATATACTTTCCCAATATTTGTCCTCTGAAAAACCAGAAAACTTTCCATCTCCAAAAAAAAAAAAAAAAAAAAGACAAATTCCCAAGTGCACAAATAGAAAAAAATACCTTTATTTAACTTGAACCAAATTTTCGGCTTTTTGTAAAATAAAATATAAATAAAAAATTCATCTTGTCCACCCATTTCGCACAAAAGAAAATAGGAAAAGAAAAACAAAAAAAAGAAAAACACTCACAAAAAAAAAAAAAGATGTAACAAAACAATAAGCACAAAAGCAAAAAGCAATCGCATAAAAGCAAACATCGGCCACCCAGTTATCTCCTTAAGAAATAATAACTTAAAAGAAAAAGAAAAGAGGAATAACGCAAAAAAGCAAGTACTGCCGCCACCGTTTTTGGTCAAATTTTTTAAAAAAGAGGATGGATGGTTCGAGAGGTATTTTTTGGTGAACTATGTAAGTAGTAAGGTAGTTAGGAGGACGATGAGAGGGGGAGGAAGAGGGAAAACTAAACGCGAAAAAAAACAAATATCCCCGCCCAAGTCGTTTTGGTTTATACAAAACGAACTAGCTAACAATACAGAGGGATTAATAATGAGATAATTTGGAAAGACGGAAGGATAGAACAAAAAACGTGTACCAAAATAGAGCTCGGGAGAAATGTTCGGCCTGTACAACTATACCCGCATAGACAAAAGATACCCGAGTTAAGGAAGCTCGTTCAGGCCGGATTTCTGAATAGATCAGATCCTAAAAACCATGATTAGACAAGGGAATAAGGAAAAAATAAAGCCTGTAAATAAAGTGACAATGAATGGTAAAGACAAAAAAGCCAAATAGAAACAGTAGAAATTAGTAAACGACGTTAACCCAGACTCATGATATATATTGCTGGGAGGATGAGTCGACAGGTAATTACCTGACTATCGCTCTCCTAAACGCCTCAAGGGTATAAGACCACTGAAATAATACTGTAAGGTCAGTACGATGAGCTCTTGCGCTCGAACGAGAGTAACCGCCAGTAATGACAAAAAAAGAGGCGGATCGAAAACACACGCCCGCCGTACACCAGTTGTCGCCGCAAAGCTAAGACCAATCTTAAACCCAATTTTTTTCTGAACGACCACCCACAGATGAGGCATAAACACCTCGCGCCAATAAAAATAATAAGGTAAAGAACAACCTGAGATAAAGTTTGTAACAGAAGCGAAAATAAGATCCCGATCTCCCATAAAATACGTTTAAGATGCTGTACACCGAATGATCATATGCAGACTTTTTTTTGTGGAAGCTTTTCTGGTCCAGGTCGGTAGGTCGGTAATCTAGCAGAATGAGCCTCTGGGGGTTGGAAGCAGGTTCTGTTCCTGTTCGGTTTTGATAAAGTTCGGGTCCTGAACCGGCACTCCGGTATAATAGATTCTATGCTGCGGAGGCTGCGTTTGAGCTGCCAAAATCTGCTGCTGGTACGCTGGATAGTCGTACCAAACAGGCTGTTGCTGTTGCTGTTGCTGCGCCTGAGCCTGCGAATGTGGGGAAAGTATTCCGTTGCTCTGGTGCTGGCCATTCTGCGAGTACATCACGATTGGATGCTGTGAAGGTCCGGTATGCACAGGCATCTGTGCGGGATACGGCGGGATCCCCCCAGGCGAAATTGCTTGACCCATATTCTGATAGTGACCCGAAGAGGTCGGCTGGGGTGCCCGGTAAAAATAATCTGAACCACAGCTGGCGGTGGTTGCCGAGGAACACGATGACAAGCTTCCAGGGCTGCTTTGGAGAGTCTGCTGTGCTGCCAGAAGTTGGTGAGTGGTTGGAGTGGAGCACACGATGCTCAAGGTGTCAAACGAACGATTCCCTTGGAGCGGTGGGGGGGGTCCGGTGGGTGTTGTGCCGTATTCATCGTCCCGATGAATTATAGCGTTCGGCGAGATCTCTCTTCCATCTCCAACATCCTCTTCCGTATAATAGGGACTTTGGGGTGTCGGCGGCTGATGTTGATGCACGGAGTGCGTCATGGCCATAGGCATTGAGTGACGATATGAATCTGAAGCTGCGGAAAAGCTCGTATTTCGACTTGAATGTCCGGACCTGACAGTGGATTGAGGACTATGAGGAGTTAGGGGCTCAGCAAAAGAGCTTGTTCGCAGAACGCTAGGGCGACTAGGAGCTGAAGGAGGAGCTGCTCTCCTAGCTGAAGCTTTCGTCAACCTTTTCGACTGAGCCCGCGATCCAGCCTTGCCTGATGCTTTAGGCGAGAGATCATCATCATCACTCTCCTCTACATCATCATCCGACACATCATTTTCTGCCCGAAGTTGGTGATTTTTTCTCGCATGCTTTGTCAAAGTTGTCTTCCTACAGAAACTAGTTCACGACTTAACAGATGAACTCGGAAGATGATCGGAGCGAAGGTACCTTTTCCCGCACTTGTCAATGGGGCAGCTATAAGGCCGCTTCCCCGTGTGAATGCGCCTATGTCGAGCTAAGCTAGAGGACTGTTACAACAGGAACCACGTTAGCTTCCGGGCTTAATTCTGTTTCTCTTCACACCAGAGCGAGGAAAGAAGCTCAACGCGCAAGACTGACATCTGAGAAGCATTTTCCACATCCAATATATTCACACGAGTGGGGCTTCTCGCCAGTATGTGTTCGGGTATGAACGGTCAAGGCACTCCTCTGAATAAAGGATTTCCCACAATTAGGAAAGGTGCAGGAGTACGGTCTCTCATTCGTATGTATCCGGTGATGGCGCTGTAAATCAGATTTGCGATTGAAGCTCTGTTCAACATATGATAGTTAGTCAAGCACGAAAGTTTGAAACGAACAATAGAAGGCATTCATCCTAGCTGAGAGCAAACATGTTGAGAGAGAAAGCCAACCTTATTACAGCTCTGCTCAGGGCAACAGAAGGGACGAGGACTCGACTCGGCAACAGTTTGTTCACGATCATCGATCAACTCAAGAATATCCATAGCGAAGAGATGGTGTTAATATGGAGGTAAAACAGTTTTGAAAGTATCAAGTTTTTTTTGCCCTCTTTTTTTTTCTTTTTTCTCTTTTGTTCCAATGAAAAGTCTCTATGAGCAGGTCGATAAACAGGAAAAGCAGAAGAGGGAGGAAAACGAGAGTGGGTTGATGAAGTAGTTGTTGAAAGTCAGATGGTTGTTCAATTGGCCGGCAGGTTGTCTATACTGCCAGTCTGAGAAGAGTGACGGTGTCGTAGGATGGGTGATGTTATGTTCTCTAGGAACCTTCGATCTAGTCCAGCAGTTTCAGGGAGGGACGGGTTAGATAAAGAAGGAATAGGAACGAAGGCTGCAATAGTTTAAAAGCTGGGTGGACTGGGATACTCTCTGGATGAGGTTAGTGCGAGAACCCCCGAAATAATAACGTAACCGAGAGCAGCAGTCCACACACGCCCTTTCTTTTTTAATTATTTATTTCCGCGAGTTTTTTTTTCTTTTTTTCTTTTTCCCATTTTCAATCCCCCCGAAAAAAGTTGCCTTACTTTTACTTACTGTACTGTACTCGAGTACAATACAAAACTCTCATTAGGAAGAAGGAGAAAGGAGGGGGGGAAGGTAGGAGAGAAATGAATCTGGCGTTGCTCCATAGCGATACTGTGCCATAAAACTTCATTCTTTCCTCTTCTCACAACTTCACACACTCTCTCTCTTTCACTTGTGTTTAGTAAAGTCCCTCAAACCCACCCAGCCTGCCTAAAAAAAATAACCCCCAAATAAAATAAAATAAAATAGACATTCTATTGCCACCACTCAAGTCTCCGACTTTTGGTCTATTTCTCTCAAGTCTTGGGGGTTGAATTCGAGTGGGAATTGGTTCGATGGTGTGACGGGGCAGAACGTTTGATTGTTGCCAGTCGACCGGGCTGCCCCAAGGATTTGGGACAGGCGCTTTCGGAGCAATGACTGGAAAGAAGTGCCAGGGGGGGGATTGGTGGATTGGGTGGTGGAGAAAGTCTGCTGGGACTGGGGGGATGGATTGGGGGGGTT